AGAACGGACCTGCTCATTTGTGCAACAGAGAAGACTGTTGCGTGACATCAACAGAGTTAATCTTATCATTTAAGCAAGCAATTCTTGTATATATATATATATATAATATGAATCTCGGAATCGGCTCCAGCGATTTTCTTGAAATTTAGTATGAGCGTAGATTCGGGGGCGAAAAATCGATCTAGCAAGGTTTCATTGTTAGAAAATTTCCTCCGGTCTATATGTTTAAGTTTAAACATATTGTAAATGTCTTGCTCTTTGGGGAGTTAGTTTTATGACAATCCCATAATTGTGATTATCAAAGAGGCAGACAGAGAGTTGATAAAGCGATTTAATAACAAGTAATAAATGGCCCGGTATGATGGGCAGATGATACTCTGAACAATCATTCCTAACATTTTTCTTTCGACCATAATTTTAATCTACTATCGCTTATGTTACATCCCCGTTTATTTATCCTATCGCATGAACGTAAGTAGACGATCGTGAAACTATTATTTGGAACAGCCTCCTTCATCTATAATGGTTTCTAAATTCATAATTCTTAAATTATTCTAAACTTTATTAATTGATATATAGTATTTAGTCGTATATGTACAAAACGTATTCCAAAATAAACGAACAACGTAAACAACAACGGAAACAAAGGAAAGAAAGCAAACGCTAGGAAACATATAAACATGCCTACTATTTTGTAAACAATTTCCAAATTAATTTAAAGTTAATTGATAATTATATACAATTAAGTTTAAATTAATTAAACATTTTAAGCAATGCTTGGCGCGTGTTATGTTATGTCCTTCACAGCAAACAAAAAATCGGTAATTCGATGATAACAGCCAACGATAATTCGAAGGAAAGATTTTAATTATTGGCATTGCAATTTTAATTTTTTCTCTAATGCAGTCTCCCATTTTTAGGGACCCAAAGGATTAAACAGGACCATATTACTAAGACTCCGCTATGTGTCTGTCTGTCCGTATGTCACCAGGCTGTATCTCATGAACCGTGATAGTTGGACTGTTGAAATTTTCGCAGATGATGTATTTCTATTCATAAAAATATTTAAATGCGGCCCCCATACAACAAACATGATTTTCTTGTCGTTTTTATAGATACGGAACCCTTCGTGTGCAAGTCCGTTTCAAACTTAGCCGGTTTTTCCAACAAATTTTAATTTTTCACCTTAGGTGCAGAAATCATAGCACTATAAAAATTTAAATTGAAATTCATTCTCAATTTGATATTATTAACCAAATACAAAACACCCTCTCGAGATTTCATTACCTATATAATAAAAAATAAAATAGAATTATCCGGTGATAAGAAACCAAGAAAAGCTCAAAGGGTATACGGTATTAAGAAAACTAATTATTAAGAAAGCGGCCGCGTTTTAAATAATAAATAGTTCGAGATCTAGTGGTAGGCCCCGAGAGACGAAGTTCACAAGTCAATTAGACTGGTTCACAATGCGAGGCCTTTAGCAGGGATCCGGAGTAATTTCAATTAAACAAGGGCCCAGCAATGCGTGAATGCGAATCTCGAATCGGGACTCTGATTTAGCGGTAGTGATGGGCTACGAATCAAATATCATCGAGAAATATTATACAAGTTAAACGAAAGTAGTTTACGGATTTTATAGCGTTTTTAATTTTTATCTTTAATTCCCGCTTCTTAATTTAAGTGAAGCACCGACGTTAGAATTTGATCAACCGATATTCCTCGTAAAAGAACACCGATTATTTTCAAGGATGATTAGCAAGGCTATTAAAATAAAGAAACATCCCAATTTCAATAGAGAAGATGGTTGGGGTTTATCATCTGCTAGGGATCCCATAATTTATAAAATTAAATCAAAGCCCACCAATACTGCTAGACCTCAAGAAACTATAAGCTCCTTTTGCGTAGAACTGGATAAAAATAAATAACAAAATAATTGACGGTAGCCAGGGTTAACTTTGACATCAAGACGTGTGACAACTTAGTCTATCCCGTAACCATGAACGCCGGAAAGGGTTCGAAACGTCGGGAATTAAAAATCAAAATGAAAACGCGACAAAATCCGTAAACTAGTTTCATTTAATATCATCGTCAAAATTTCACTGCATATAAAATATTATGGTCATTTAACAACCACATGTCATTTCGCTGTCACTAAACTGGTAGGGATTTTTAAATATAGAACATTATATTAAACTAACTCTTAATGCGAGTAATATTATTTTTTTTTTTATGGAGAAAAGGGGCAAACGAGCAGGAGGCTCACCTGATGGTAAGTGATTACCGCCGCCCACGAACACCTGCAACACCCGAGGGCGCACAAATGCGTTGCAGGCCTTTTAAGAAAGAGTACGCTCTATTTTTGAAGGTTCCCAGGTCGTAACGGTTCGGAAAGACCGCCGGCGGCAGTTGGTTCCACAGAGTGGTTGTGCGAGGCAAGAAATGCCTTAAAAATCGCGCTGTTGTGGAACGTTGGACATCGAGGTGGCTTATTTTATGGCTATTAGGCTTTAATATTTGACTCTCTTATAGACAGTTGATGAAAAGAATAGATAGAATATATAATATAGTATAATAATAATATAGAATAGATGAAGTAAACCGTTTGTACCGGAAAGACGTTAAAAATAGTTTTCTTCGTCCACTTTACATTAGAACATCACTAAATATTGTCAATGGCTCAGTATACCTTGAAGATGATTTTATTCGGAAACACGCGATTTCAGCAGTTCCTGTCACGGATGACAGTCTCAGTATAGTTTTAACTAAAAGCGAAAACATCGTAAACGTGACAGTTGTAATTTAACTTCAGAATAGAGGTGTCCAACGTTAAATTCTTGTTCGTAGTCTCCGTTACTAGTAATCAGTAGAATGTATGCGATCGACGCTGCTAATTCTTATACAGGCCCATCACTACGCGCCTCGATCAAATTTAAATGATACGCCAACAGGGCTCAACTCGCTACGGCATTTTTTATACATCGCTCAAGTTTTGAATTCGCTGATAAGTTTCATGTTGCCATACAAACTGCGAGAAACGAGTGTAATGAGAAAACTTTGTTGAGGCGACATTCAAACAACGCTTTTACATAATACAAGTTATGTAATGTGTCTATTCGGAGTGGTAAGAGTTACCAGATCGCGGAATCGAGAGGAGTTGAGCGCTTTTCAATCATGATTGATTTTAAATTGTATATTGTACGTGCTACGGACGCATACAAACCAATGGACTTTCATTTAGTTTAGGTGCTTTGCGAAATTTTGGTGTACGAACTAAAATTACCACACTTAAAACAAGTTTAAAATAAAATATGTCCATTTATCGGTTTATTTATTTAAATTGCAGAACATTCCCCTTCGTCTCCACTACATATATTTTATTTTTGTTTAAAAAATACTGTATTTTTTTGTTTTTATTATATGTTAAATTCAGTCATAAATCAACATGTACTAATCCTTTGTTAGCATTCGTTTTTTAGCTGTTATCAATAGAATAACTTTTGAATGTCGTTCCATCAGTAATTAAGATACCATTTAGTTTAAGATACCGTGTAGTTCTTTCGTATTTGTACGCATGTTTCGACGTGTATCTTTTTAGTGAAGTAAATAAATAAATATCCCCATATAAATTGTTACTTAAAAAAAAAGCAGAAGATGAATGAGAAATGCAGAATACAGTGAGGTTTTGTCGAAATTGAAAAGTAAACTTAATGCAAACATGTTTAATTTATCGTCTAGACGTTAGTAAGTAAAAAAAGTTCTCTTTTAATTTGTTAATAACCTGATGTCGTTGTAAAACTATATCTTTATTATTTTTATTACCACCGGAACACCCCAACTGTAGCAACATAATTACTTAATTAAAGGTATTGATGTCTTTATTAAGTAATTTAAAAAAGTGTGGCTATCATACGTATTTCACTCATTCGGCCAAATTGTATTAATTTGTTAATCAAACATTAACACTATAGTCCACTAGATCAGATTTGGATAATAAACATGTGAAGAAACTGAGAGTCACTGTCTAAGATTAGTAATCCCATACACAGAAACTTGGATAAATAAATAAGTTCAATACCTACTACGCCAATCAAATCAGCATTTTTGTTACTCTAGTAGCTATATCATTATCTTGCATGCGCCTCATGTCTTGATTCCGACCAAATTCAGACATAATAACCTCTGTATAATTGGAGATCTACGCCTCATGTCTTGATTCCGACCAAATTCAGACTTAATAACCTGCATCCATCCAACTTCACACACACCTGAATATCGCGTTTCTCCGTCTGATTGGGGGTCGTCCTACATTGCGATGGCCAATACGAGGCTGCCACTGAGGAACCTTTCTTCCCCATCAGCTGTTAGTTCTTCGAGCTATATAGCCGACCCATTGCCAGTTTAGCTCATTGCCTCTGAGCTATGTTGATTGCCTTTGTTCCATTGCGAATTTCTCCATTAAGATCTCTATAGCAAGTTAATATTGTCACGTGAATCCCGTAGCATAATATATATGATAGATTTAAGTATGGTTTTTCTAATTTTGCATGATTATATTATGTTGGAACGTTTACTAAGTGATACGATTCAGCGAGGTTCGCTTATTCGATTTAACCAAGCTTATGACTTTTCGACAATACATTTATGTAATACTAGCTGCTGCCCGCCACTACGTCTGCGTAGAATAGGCTGAAGGCGTAACATTCAAACAGAAAGACAGTATGTAAATTATAGCCTTTGTCTTATTATGATGTATAAGCTATATTATTGTAAAGTTTCATTAAAATCCATTCAGTAGTATTTGCGTGAGAGTTTTCATCCAAAATCCTTTCACCCTTAGCGGAGTAAACCCGTGGGTTAGCCCACCGTGAGAGTTTAACGGGAAAAAGCAAAAACATCAGTTAATACAAAATACAAAATACAAACTTTCACCTTTATAATATTTGTAAGGATAAGGATGTATACCTAATTATTATATAAGTACGTACGCAAATTTTCAGGGCAAACACGAAGAGACGAAGACAGCGAAAGGTCACCACGACAAGGAGGACCATCTGGGCAAGTACGACGATCACGGTGGGGTTGACAAGTACCACCACGACGAATCCGGCCACTATGGTCACCACCACCACGAAGAGCATGGCAAGAAACACGCCAAGGTACCATCTTCCACTGTGTATCGGCGGACTTTCGACTTGAATCGAAAGTTTTCGGGAATCGATGTACAGTGTTAGATATAGTCAATTTAACCATTTATATGCTTTAATGAAGGCTAAATACATTTGAATTTTTATGTAAATTGACTGTAGGTATTTAAAAAAGTCATTGAATCGATTACAAAAGTAGGAATAAGTTCAACAGTATACGCAATATTAACAGTGCTAATTTAAATTGTTTTAAAATTGTTGACGCACTCGAAACGTTTTACTGTAACGTCTATATGAGTTGTTCTCTTCACTGTCTATAGTTTCACATTTTTCCTCATTCAGTACGAGGAGTCAGGCAAACACTCCAAGGGGCACAGCACTAAAGGCAGCCACGACATCCACAAGAAAGAGGAGTACGAGAAGAATGTAGAATTCTTCGAGGAAGAGGGAGACTACGGGGAAGACGAGAAGCATGGTGGTCACCACGACGAGAACGGCCATTCGAAGGTATATTCTGTATAAAAAAAAAACATTTAAAGAATTAAATAAATACACACAACTCAAAAAAACTAAATTTAACAAAATATAAAATAAAAAAATTACAAAAGTAAATATTACAGTAAACAAAACAACATAAATAAATAATTCAAATATGAAACAAAAATAAACGAATAGTACCAGCTCCTATTCTTGCTTAGCAAAAACTACCATAGTAAGTAGCGAGGGTATCGAAATCTGGGCACTCAATATTCAGCCATATATTAAATGACATTATATAAAAGACAGACGTAGGAATAATTATAAAAAAAATCAATACGATATAAATTCAATACGGTTCAATAAAACTATTTCACGGTTGAATATCCAACATTTCCGTATAAGACGATGGTTGCCTTGGGGTGTGGAAATTTTTAAACAAATTACACGCGATTAGATCCGTAAAATTGTTTTATTTAACAACAGCCAAATACTTGAAATGAAATACAACATAACAAAGCATGTTTGTCCTCAAAAATTGAACAGTTAATGCAAACTAAAAGATTACGAGTTCAACACCGCACTTGCCAAATGTCTAGACAATCTGAAATAGTGTCGAAATTGCAGCGAGACATTTGTTGTGTATTATGAACCTTCTGGCTATTTGAATAAGGGGTATGGTCAAAAGTCACGTCTTAAAGATTCTAGACCAGTTTTTGTCATGCTCTTTTGTCGTCCACGTTTCCTTTAAGACTTGGGCAATAAACTTACCAGGTTAATAGATTTGTAACTTTTTACAGTCGTCTTCACTTCTTGTGTCAATTTCACGGTAGACTATTTTTTATGCGAAAAATTGAGAAGCGAACAGGCTGGATGGACAAATGTTGTTTAGTGAGTAGCGCAGCCATGGACATCTGCAACACCTGGGCGTTTGCAGATGCGTAGACAACCGTTAAAAAAGCGGGTGCCCACTGGCTCACCAGAAGAACCAGTAGAAGTATAATATTTCCAATTCGCGCCAGTCTTCCACAAGGCCGTGGTACTTCCACAGACGAGCCTGCCCATTCATGTCACTGCAGAAGCTCTTGCGTGGCTTTAAAACATTAAATTAATTATTAATTGATTGACTTTTCAATATTCCCGTACAAAGGATTCGTAATAATACTTAAAAATCAATTTGAACTTGAATACCATACCATAAAGTTTATGTGTTAGTGGAGGGGTTCCGGGAAGGCAAAACTAGTGAGTGACTGTGGTAAAATGTCACTTGAAATGTAAACGTCTCTTTGCTGTGCATCACTACATAGTATAAAACATGCTTAGATCTTTAAAACTACACAACGGATCTTGATGCGGTTTTTTTTACTAGATAGTGATTCAAGAGGAAGGTTCATATGTATAATACATTACATCCGTGCAAAGCCGGGGAGGGTCGCTAGGGGGCATGCCCTAATCATTCCCAAATGTGGCTAACATTTTAAAGAGCTTGTTTTTTCCTTAGTACTTATTTATTTTTATTACGTTTTAAGGTACCCGTTTTTATATATTCAGTAAAAATGATAGTGTTGTCTTTCCAAAAACCTCATATATTCATGTCTATTATTTTAATTAATTCATGTCAGGCTAGTGTAACATTAGCAAATCCGAGACCTTAAATTTGATTTGAATAAAATGCTTGTATTTAATCAGGCATAAGCTAACAGTCGATGGTTGGATACGTGACTCAGGATCATGCTTCGTGGCAGTCTGTGGGTGAGGCCTATGTTCAGCAGTAGTCTTAGACAGGCTGAAATAATGATGATGATCATGACGAGAAATCATAAGATGGCGAATGGTCACCTATATAAGAAACTAAGCCACTATCCATTTAAACGTTAAAATATATGCATTACATTTGTTGATAAAGAAACCTGTTGACAGGGTGGTAACTTCAAGCGCGGAGGTCTTAAAGCAGAACATGAAGGCTCCTCGAACGACAACAAAGGCCATTACAATAAAGGCGGGTTTGGACACTTCAATAAGGTAACATCCCAAGTTATAAACTATTACAAAGCATTTTTGGCGTCAAAAATTAATACTTAATGCAAACTAAAAGATTACGAGTTCCACACAGCGCTTGCCAAATGTCTAGACAATCTGAAATAGTATCGAAACGGCATATATAAACCAAATCAGGTTTTAAGGAAAACATATTCATCATACAAATTACTTTTATTGTTTAAATAGTAGACGTTGATATGGTAACAAGGAATTGCCTTATAAGTGAACATAATAAATGCACATTACAGTAGCAAATTCTTAGCTTTAGAAGCACATCGCCAAGATTGGCATGGTTTCAACTTTTGAATAGTCAGTCTAGTCGTAATAGTTTATAAATAAAACAATTTTGTCACAATAAAATCAAATCTAGATGAAAGTTATCATCCTTAATGACTTCGAATTCTTAGGGTCACAAATCCGCCGCGGGGCACGACCAACACGGCCGTCAAAACAAGAAGAAGTTCGTTAAGGAGGGCAAAGAATCCGGCAAGAAATGGATCTACCATCACGGGCACCCACCAAGAACTGCCAACCTGGTGGTCATCGATAGACGCACCGACTCATATCCCAATGCTCCGATAGTTTTCAGCTAAGCTACATCCAAAGGAACTTTGCGAACCCGCTAGTAGATATTTACTTAGTATAGATGCTGTAACAATTGCTGACGGCTAATTTTTAAATTTCCTAAAGATCTGAAAATGTGGCCGTCTGATAACATTGTGAACGGCTTTAGAGTGAAATTGTCTATATGTGTGAGATGTTAAATTATTTACCGGATTCCTTTTTTATTTGTTTTTATAAGATCCTGAAGTCGAGAAATTCCGAATGTTTCGAACGCTTGATACAATTTCTTGAAAATTAAGAGACATTTATGCAGAATTTCCTGAACTAGTTTGTTCGACTGAAAGTCTAAAAATTTTTTTTGTAAGACATGTTACTTCATACTAATATAATGAATAATTAATTAATCACCAAGAGTGTAATTGTAATGTTAAAAAACCTAAGGAGAAATTGTTATACTGGTAACTGATTAATTAGTGCTTACATATCTACTTTAAGTATATCAAAAAAATTTATACAAGCAATAGATAGCCCGAGAGTGATTTAATATGGTGTTGAGTTCACTAATTAAGTTTTTACCGTTAATTATTAAAGGTATAGTTTGATAGTATTATTTTCTTCTGGAGTAAAGCCTCGCACCGGCTTCTGGGGCAGGATGATTATGTGATGGTGAGAGGGCTGATTTGACTCGGGGAACTCAAGGCCTCAGAAAGAAAGCATAAAATAAAGAATTTTTATTTTGCTTCGTCTGGTGACTGGGGCTACCACAGGCTGACCGTTGAGGCTGAAAGTGCACTATGTTGATGTGACTGTAGCGATGTGAGCTCTTATTTGATTGACGTTTCTTTAAAAAAAAACACGTCGCCATTTTGCACCAGCTGTTCCCTTCAGAGTGGCTTTTCTTTTAGATTCTACCTGTTTCAATTGTTACTCATATCCAGGTATGAACAGTAAGCAATACACGCTCTGTTTTCTACTTATTTAAGCTGAACTTCTGCGGATGGAGAGGTGATCCTCGTGGTTGAGTCAGTGTGTGGTAATGCCTACTTATTCGAATAAATAGTATTAAAATATGAGATGCTGTGATCATATCAAAGCTGCAAGTTTGCTTCTGTGTGTTCTTATAGTTCGACCTATATTATAGTTTTGTAAATACTTGTTCTCATCCACATTTTTTTTTTTTTTGTACAAATTTTAGAACATTTTGTAAATATACTTTTTTTAATAAGCGTCGTTTTATTTCACTTTAATCCTGGTAGTCGTCTAGTCTTCGAAAGCGAGGTTCTTAGTTACAATATAGATTCTAATTCATATCGCGATACATATATCGTTGATCATAATCAACAGGTTATAAAGAGTTTCGGAGGCCGAGTGAAGTACTAGCTTTTGAAGAACGCACATCGCTCTTATTAAAAATCATAATTCAACACAAAAGAATTAAATAATAAAGCTGTTAAGAGAATTCATTATCGTTTGATGTCCGCTATCATATTTATTTCCCGCTATTTATTGCCATTTTGCCTTTTTATAAAGGGGAACGCCGCCGGCTAATTCAAGTACCGCTCTATCAAGTTGTATTTCACCTTATCTGTATAGGCATAGTTTGTTAATTTGCAATAACTGTGACCACGTAACAGTGCCGAAACGTCAGCAATGACGGCACGGCTACATCAAAAGCCGACAGTCAATTTGAAGGCGTCCCTCGGTAAGGGACTAGTAACTCGAATTCGCTGACTAAAGCAGCTGATCACGTCTTTTAAAAACCGACCAAGTGCGAGTTGGACTCGCGCAAGAAGGGTTCCGTATCAATATATATATAAGAACGGCAAAAAAATCATGTCTGTAGTATGGGAGCTGCAGTTAAATATTTTTTCAATCTATTTATTAGTATTCCTTGTTATAGCAGCAAAAGAAATACATCATCTATGAAAATTTCAAGTGGCTAACTATAACGGTACATGAGATACAACCTGGTGACAGAGGTACAGATAGACAGACAGCGGAGGCTTTGTAATAGGGTCCCGTTTTACCCTTTGGGAACGAACCCTAAAAAGTTACTACAGTTGGAGTTGACATGTCGTTGTCGAGAGTGTGACTTGTTAGCGCAATTGTTAATCTATATGCTTCAATGTCAGGTGTCGTAGGTTCGATTCCCACACGGGACGTGTATTTGTATGATCGACAGATGATTGTTCCGGGTCTGGGCGTTTCTTACAAAACACCTTTCAAACATAGAGTGATACCATAAGCTCCTTCTGCGTGGATCGGAATAAAAATAAACAAAATAATTAACGGTAGCCGGGGTTAACTGTGACATCAAGACGTATAACGACAGTCTGTCCCGTGACCACGAATGCTGGAAATGGTTCGAAACGTCGGGAGTTCAAATCAAAATAAAAACGCGATAAAATCCGTAAACTAGTTTCATTCAATATCAATCATTTTGTGTTGTGCTAGCCCCACCTAGGTGGGATAAGGGCATGAAGATGGAAAGGCCAGCCAAAACGACTTCCATTATGATTCACATGCTGTGCCGACACCACCTAAGAGCAGGAGGATGATTTTCTGGACATTATTCACTTAAGCGTGGTTTATATTTAACCTGTCACCGAGATGTCTCCGACCACATGGAATGACGTAGATGAAGGGCGAACTATGTAACGTGCCAAACCTACGTTGCTGTAGCGGTCGTGGACACTAAATCTGGATTAGAGTTGAACATTCTACTATTAGCAGTAGCCCGCTGCAAGCTGGATATGATGATATTGTAAAAGCTCTCTTTCACACTTTCTGCTTATATTGCAACCTTTGTCTCTTAGTTTTCTATGATGTCGTATGAAATTGCCGTTTTATGTAAAAGTGGGACATTTTGAACGACAAGCATATTTTTAACTGGATGAAGTATTGACCATTAAGTTCTAATACGAAACCCCTTGTACACAACACAAAAAACTTAATACTCAATTCGAATAATAAATGAAATAAGACGAATCCATTAACCAGTAGACAAATATGTCTTTAAAGTAACCGTTTGATTTAAGATTGATACAAGGGAGATTTGTTAATAATCATATTATATCGAAAAAATGTCCCTATAAATACTTGTCGCTACAATAATTTAATGTGCTATTACATCCTAATGGAAATAATTCTAAATTATTTGAATGAGAACGTCATGGGTAGCGTAACAAGATATAAAATATTATATCTTAATATATGGAATGCGATCCCGAAACCAATAACTGAGATAGCATACTTCGGGGCGGCGTTCTGCGAAGGCGAACAAATGGCAAGTGCGAGTCGGACTCGCGCACGATGTATCCCATACCATTATCTTTAAAAACGGCAAAAATGTCATGTCTGTTGTATGGGAGCCCCACTTAAATATTTTTTATTCTGTTTTTATTATATATTGTAATAGCGCAGACAGAAATGCATCATCTGTGAAAAATTCAACTGACTAACTATCATGGTTCATGAGACACAAATGGTGACAGACGGACAGACAGACAGCGGAGTCGTATCAATAGGGTCCCATTTTACCCTTTGGGGTATGGAACCCTAATACAAGCTCCCTTGCGGGCCTTTTCTCTCTCCCTTAACCCTTATGGGATAGACAGTGATAGCTCGTACAATTCATATTTCGCAAACCTTATTAAGGGTCAAAGGTGGCTAATTAAAAAGCTAGTTTACTCACCGGTATGCATATTCGTTATAACTTAATAATTTAATAAATTATTACACATTATCTTTATTTAAATGTGGTACGGCCACCCAACAGCTCGTACTTTTCACATAAAAAAGTAACAACCTATACATGTCCCACTGCTGGGCAAAGGCCTCCTCTATATAGAGGGTATCAGGGCATAGTCCACCACGCGGCCCCACTGCGGATTGGCGGACTTCACATATCTTCGAACTATTTTTTTTTGTTATTATTTCGAAAATATGCAGGTTGTTCCTCACGATGTTTTCCTTCACCGCGGAGCACGTGATAAGTCAGCACTTAAAGTTAAAAACTTCATTGGTGCCGGCACCGGGGATCGAACTCAGGTTGCTCGAGTATATTGAATTAAAGGCGAGCGCCCGGACACTGAGCTATCACGACTCACATAAAAAAAAATATTATCCTAATGTACAAGACGGGAAATGTCATCGCTGCTACTGGTTAAGATCGAATTTACTTCGAGGTATGCTTATCTCGCGTAGAACACCGACCCCCAACAAACAGGGCATAAGGAATAATGTAACTGTGTAACTCGAGGATTATTTCTACTTAGTAGAACTCTATCACTTTCTAGTATATAAGAGCTTGAACATTATATATTAAGAGCTTGAATATTATAGATGACTCCGTGGCGCAGTTGCCAAGGTATTGGCTTCGGCGTCGGGGGTCGTGGGTTCGATTCCCACACGGGACAACTATTTGTGCGACCCACAGATAGTTTTTTCGCATCTGGGTGTTTGTCCGCGTGAAATTTATGTTTGTAAAACGTCCTTTACAACACAGTATAATATTATCCTAAAGTAAGGGCAGTGTTTTTTTTAACCATACAAAACATTACAAAAGGTGGTGTTCAGGATGCATAGTTTCATCCAGTGGTACGTGACCTTTCGCTTAAACAATTTCGTGGATCCGATGGAAACTTTTTACAAGTTAGTTACGAAATAGATAGTACAAAAAAGTAAAGTAACAGCCTATACACGGGGTGTACGTGTATAGGCTTTTATTTTACTTTTTACTGCTGGGCAAAGGCCACCTCTATACAGAGAGTATCAGGGCATAGTCCACCACGCGGCCCCACTGCGGATTGGCAAATATCTCCAAACATTTATTTTGTTATTACTTCGGATATGAGCAGATTTCCTCACCATGTCTTCCTTCACAGCTGAGCACTTAATAAGTCAGCACTTAAAATATAGAAATTCATTGGTGCAGGCACGGGGTTTTGAAAATCAAATCAGCTCTGTATAGGGGCCGTCCATTAATCTGTTTTTTAGCATTTTAACCCCTTCCTCTCGCTTGGTG